ATCATTCATTCGTATTCATTAGGGTATGAAATTATGGTTAACAGGTTTTTATTTTTCATGTATATTCAGCTAACCGACTTTCTTACTTTTATATAAGAAGTAATCAGTCACGCATGAGTATATTTACATTATGGTGGCCAATGTATCGCCAGTTTCTTGACGGTTGGTATCCAGCGCGTTCCTAGACTTCGTAACTTGCTCATCAAGACAATCATTACCCAAATAGCGCCTGGCGGTTTATTAATCAGAAGGCGAATAAGAAGTGTCGAATACGTTTAGTTTAGCACACGACAAATGGGCCAGCAAACAACAAGCACACAGAGAAGGACAAACACACAATCGAGGAAGCGAATCGGTCAAATGACAAATGAATTGATAAGATCAAAATGTACATATATATAGATAGGAAAATGGTTGAGTTATCGTAATATTGAGGTTAACATTAAAAGCGAGGAGGATGAATATTTGCGACGCGGTAAACAATGGTCAGGCATATGATCTCATACAAACCAGATAATAATAAAAGGCAAAGGTACATAAAAGTTGTTACCACACAAATGGCTTGGTTAAGTAAGTTAATCAGAAGGCTTAACCAAATTAAATATATGCTAACTCACTACAACATAATAAACTAAAATCATTATAATACAACAGTTAAAAAACTAAACAGAACTAAAGAGAGTGTCATGTTAATTGAATGAACTGTGGTAAATATTGATTCTCTGAATAGTCCTGATGTTTGAGGGATAACATAAATCAGCTCCACACAAATAAAATCAAATAAAGTTCTGAGATCTGCTTAAAACTACCTATGAATTAGTATTTTGACCAGTTGGAACAACCAGTAGTTCAACATTGAATTTTTATAAAAAGGAAAAACATAGAGTTGTTTATTACTGGGCAAAAACTACATTTCATTAATTTGTTTTATTTTAGTATTCAAATTATTTTTTCATTTTATGGTTGCGTTACTTATTCCAAAATTAAAAATAATTCTTATCGATGAATACCAATAATCACTATCATTGTATGTAAAGTATTCTGATGACCGATGCATCCACTAAATTTAAGTTTCAATATATTTCAGTAAAAAGAACTAAATAATCCGACCACGACAATATTCTAGTTATAACTGACAGTAATGCATTCTCATTAATCCATGAATCAAGTTCAAAATTATACAACAATGACTACGTTAGATTCTTTATTTATATATAAGCATATTAATTAAGTATTTTGTGTTGTGCAGAAACAAAATAATTTAACTCACTAGTATATTTTAAGCGAAACACTTTAATTGGCATTATGCTAATTGAAACATAAACATGAAAAAAATATGAAAAATTTTTACCATATTACTTGATTGGCATATGACAAACATATAAAATTATTATGATTTAAAGAAAAAAACAAATAAACAAACAAATAAGCTACTATGGTTGGTATATTGTATAAAACCAAACTGGCAAATGTATGTTTTGTGTTCGTTGATTCATGCCTTTCAATGTATGAAAGCATTGTTTTAACGGTTACCATGGTGGGTTTTGAAAACAAGTATTTTTTTCAACCGTTCAACTGTTTATTTTTTGTATAGTTCTATAACCACTGTGTATTATTACAAACTATCAAACCATTCCTAGTCATCTCAACCATTAATAATAAATTTTAGAAGCGGTAAAGCGAAAGTTAACTCACTATAAATTATATCAAAATAAAATGTTCCACAGTCAAAATTTATCTTTTCAGACATAAAATAATGATCCCAAACCTAGTGATTTAGAAAATAAGTCTTTCTAAAAATTTCAAAGTTCATTAATAATTGATGTCGACTATTTAGAAAAACAATAATTTTCTAAATTTAGTTTATGATTAACTTGAATATTAAGCTTTGTTATAGCGTGTTGTATCTCAACTATAAAGCAAAACAGTATGTTGTAAAAGGAATTGATCTATCGTGATGAATAAATCAATAAAAGGCTTCCGAAAAGAAAATTTATATATATGTATATATAATTGATGAATATTCAGATTGATATCAGCCAAATCTTTAAATATGTAAAAATATTATTTCTGAATGTGCTTTTTACAGGTAAAAAATTTCTAAAAATCTGTCAATATTATTTTAAGTAGCATGTTGAAATTATGTCATTTACTAGATTGTAAAATGAAGAGAAGCATTTCATATTAGTAAATAAGTTAATCACTATTAGTTTCATCTGAAGATAATAAACAAATCTTATGTAGACTGTTGATTTCTTAATCGACATCATTTCGAAGACAACAAAAACACAGCTAGGCTCTGAATGACAGACAGATTGATTTTATGAATCTATATGTAACTTGCATAGATTTAGTTTGGTAAAAACAACTATTTCTACAATGGTTTTTATTTGTTTTTTTCCAATAATTTTAATTTAGGTCAAAAATGAAATTAATTTATTACAAGATCAAATGACAGATAAGTGACTTATTAATGTTAAAAAAACACAAACTCCCTTTGGGAAGAGACCTATCTAGAATGTTATGACATATTTTATTCCTAATGTTAATTGAAAAAAAAAAATAATATTTGTAAGACAAACGTTTTGTTTTCTTCATTATCATCTTTGTACCAGTTAATATTGATTCATTCTGAAAATTTGCCAGTTATTTACACTTCACTGACGATTACATAAGAAAATTTGATATTTTTCAACTTTAAAATTTTCGTGAACTTAGAATTTTTAAACTTGAAAACAGCTTTCACTCGGAAGTTCGGCTAAAAGGGAATTAACCATATTGATTATACTACAATAGAACTGATGCTTGAATCATGGGCTCAACAATGAATCAGCAATACAAAGCAAAAATTTATCAGAACGATGTAGACGACTACTAATAGTTAAGGCTAAACAGATATCAATGGAATGCTTACTATTAGTCAGTCACGAACTATATATAAACTATATTTCTTTATCAAACCAATTAGAAAATGTTAGTAACCTCGTCTTCCTTTAGCAACACTCAGTATAGTAATGCACTTTTACGTGTCTGCATGAAAAATTATACACTCTAGAAGCTAGTGTTTATAGACAATATATGTTTTTTGTTTATTGCAACTTTTGAGCTGTTCAGTAGTCGAAATATAGTTTATGTAAATTTACAGTATGTTCATCTGTTGTTGCAGAAGACGAAACAATTGAAAATACGTGTTTTCAATGAGTTGAATGGTGAAACAGTAAAAAATGTCACAAATGCTTTTTTACTGCGTATTACGACCGAGTCCTATATTCCCGAGTTTCATTGCAGAGAAACTGGTTGATTTTAGTTCAGCTTTCGGCAAAAAGTAGAATACACTCATCAACCAAAATCTCCATTAGAAGGGGGATTACCTAAGTTGTTTTCAGATATTCAAAAACTAGGCATAGTTTGTCACAAGTTATTATTTTTATGTTTTATAACTAAATGACTTACGAGAAAAATGACATTCATGCATATGAAACCAAGAAAGTATTCCTTCGCGAAATAGTTCATTATAATAAAAAACTCAAACGAACAGTCAGACGTTTGTTTGTGTCTTACGAAAAAAAATTATATTTATCTTTAAAAAGATAATTTGATTGCCAAAGCAGAACAGAACATGGTGAAATATTATTTATAAACATTTAAGCGCAAATTTAAATAATTCAAAATGTTTAAACATTAAAGAACGTTGATTAACATAGGGGAAGAGAGTGCACCACTTACACAGTAGGAATACTTATGAAACTTTGCTAGAGTCCGCACAAATTATTGTTAGCAAGTTGCAGTTAAATGATGTAATTTTCTGTTGCTCATTCGTAATAAATCAGAAGTATCGTCTAACGCTTCAGAGTTACTGTTATACGAGAGGACTATGTTATGGATGCAGTAGCAAGTATTTTATTAGTTGAAAAGAGTACAGTAAGCCTCATTTATATGCATGGTATTTACGTGATAGCTATATTTTATGCCACATTTCCTATATTGCACAGTTAAACCCTGTGAATGGTCAGGATATAGGCTTCATGTGCTACAAATAACCATGTTGAGTTTAGGACTAGATTTCACCTTTATTACGGTGAATAAAAAATATATATATGTATATACTCATATATATATATATATATATATATATATATATATATATATATATATATACATGTATATAAATTTATATACATTTGACATAGAAATCAAGTCATGAATTTTCTTTCATGACTATATGTTATTTTACGATTCGTTTCAAAGAGAAATATACTTATAATTCTTTAAAAGATTCTACGCGGAACAGTTATGTCATTACTAACTTTTTTATTGCTACCTTATTGACAGAATTTTCAGGCGTTACATGAGCATTGAATTCTTTCACTGATTTGGTACAAAAGCCATTATTATTGCAGTTCATCTTAAACTGATTTATGTATGTTCTTCATGGGTAAACTGCACTACGTAACACAAAATCTTTTAAAAAACATCCCATCAAATTATAATGTGATTGTGTTATTATCAATTCGTACCGATAAAAAATTTTAAGTATGAACCTTTTGGAACAAATCGCCCAACTCATGGTAAACAATGCCAAAAACACTGCAATGTATTTAAAATAAGGACATAAGTAGTTCGCTAAGTGAAAATGTATCATGTTTTAAGATAGTAGTTTCCTTATAAATTCATTTTTTACTGCACTTCAAGATTACTGCAGAAATATCTAATTGTTTTGGTACAAACGTCATACTAAACAAGTCATCAAATAAATCATTCTGCAAAAAAAACAGGCAATGAGTGAAGATTAGTAATATGATGATCGTTCAAATAAATCTTCTGGTCCCCTTTTTCATCGATCTAATGATATCCTACGATGAAATATTCCTAATTTATGTGAAACGTACATAAATGTCAGATATAATAAGATAATTACATTTATTTTAACATACGTAGTAAGTAGAACGTGCTGCTAATTCAAAAAAAAAAAACATTTTAAACGATATAATAATACTTACCTTTTAAAATTTATGTAGATATATCATAAAATTTGGACAGTTATTTATGAGTAATAAATTCTAATAAATTATGATAAAACTGCAATCGAAATTTACACACACATAATTTATTCACGATTCTAAAACACTTTAAATATATGATATCATTAGGCAATCATAAGACAACCACCGTTAATGCAATCATTTGATTGGTTATTCCAGTTTGTATTAATATACATATATGTATGACGTTGGCAAATAAATGATTTTTGTTAGGTAATCTTCTGTCTACCCACTGTTATAACTAAAATTTTCGCATTACAGTTAGCGATTAAGCTTAATACAAAAAGCCTACACCATATTGCGTCACAGGACCAACAACAACGTATCTGTAATTATATATATATATCCAGAATAAACAGGTTTAAGTCAATGGTTTTCTGTCAATCGCTGAGTTAATAAAAATATTAATCACTTCCTATGTCTTATTCATACATCTTGGGAGGTGAGACTTTCGTGACTGTTTATTCAGTATGTCAGCTGTCTATCAATTTCAAATTTTATTCATCGACTACATTGTGACATGAAAGATTGAGAAATAACTGATACAGTCAAGTACTAAGCTTAAACCATTCATCTATCATGACTTGTACACAAAATAGGCAATCAAATACATACATATCTTATCATTATTCTCATTATTCGTTTTCAGTTTCATATACTCTCTTTGCATGCTTCCTTTGTAAATATTCCCTTTTTTTAAAAATCATAATGACAACGATTATTTTAGGACGTATTTTTCTGTAGAAGGAATTTTAAATATCCCTTTGACTGGCAAATTCAATCAATTTTTAAAAATAAACAAAATAGAAAAAAGGAAAAGAGAAAGGAATCATGATTGTCAAACAGCATTTTCAATGTTAAAATTAAGAATTTACTCTAGAATCAAAAATTGTGTATTCAATAATGGATGATAAGCTTTAGAAACTAATTTGCAATCATAATCATGTACATTATTTATTCAGTTTGATTTTATACATTTGAATAATAGTAGAAAATGTGATTGTATCATATACAATGTTCATTTTATATCTGTGATTAAATTTACTGATAAACACAAAAAATAACATTAGCGCATGCTTTAAATTTCCATCAATATTTTTATAATCGCTCTAAGCTAAAATCTTTTAATTTTAACTATAACAAACAGAATTCCCTCAGCAAATATTATTCATATGTATTATGATGTATTCATTAATTTAACCTGTGGAATGTTGATCAATTATATTGTTCTACATAGTCCAGTATCGCTGAACTATGTAACTACATTTATCTCATATTCTCACAAAGAAGGTTGAAAAATCAAATATCTGTTACATTTTGTCTGATTAAAATGTAAAAAATAGAAAAAAGGGATTGCATGCAATCAACAATTTACATGCCTCCTTAGAACAACCAAAGTACATACATCGAATCTTAGTTATTTCAGGATATCTTAATGATACTCACTGAAGACGAACCACTTTTAAAAAAAGTTTCGGAGGTGACCATACCTTGAAGTATTGATATGTATACTATATATATTTAACAGTATAGGAAATTTGCTGGTAATAAAATGAAAACAATGTTCAAAATAATCAGTGATTTTGTTTAAATTTGGTTTAATCCTAGAAGAATGGGAATGTGATATGAATTTGATTATCGGACAACGTTTCCCGATGTTCAATTCTGTTTTAGTTTGGCACTCATGTTTAAGCAGTCTTCAGATTTGTTGCACTTGGAAATAACATGGGTTTACTAACTAATCCCATATGAATTAAAAAGTGGCAGATTGGTTTAATCCAATAAAAAAAAAGTACAACTGTTCAACATGTCAAACAAATATCATTAAATTGACTAAACCTATTACTCTTTTCAAATTGGATTTGAATTTATTTTGGAATATTTATTGTTGTCTAAACTCTGAAACACTATAATACTGCGTTTTCGAGAATTAATGCAGAATTATTTTTTCAAGGCATTCACGAAAAAACAACTTTTTTCCCATAAATTTTATTCAAAAATTATTACTTAATGGATCAATGGAAACGTATCCAATCAAGTATTGTGTGAAAACAAACGACTCAATGATTTCATTATGATTAGATTTTAGTAGCTCAGAAAGCAGACAGTGAATGATTGACAGTAGTTATTTATTCAAATAATCAGACTTATCAGCATGCCAATCAATTTTAATCCTGTGATAATATTCATACTACACTGATGGAAAACTTTATTGTTAGAAATTTATAATCAGTGTTTCATAAAACGTAAGATTGGTCAACAAATCTGCATGTACCATGTACAAAACTTGTGCTCAACGTACAACTTAATCGCAAAAATGTTTAAATATGCCGACTGTGAGAGACTGTAGATTATAGAACGGTTTTGGTTAGTGCAGGGTATTATATGAATGAAATCCTCTTCTTATAAAGCAGTATATGTATTTCACTGTTACAAACCAGACAGACACATCAAGAACTCTCAAATGCCAAACTGTATGGACGCACTCATTGAATGAATACACTCTTAAATAAACCAAATATTCATCTAAATAGTTACTTGATTTCATGTCAGTAAACTAATGAGAAGCTCACTCCTTGAATTAACTGGAAACTACCTTTTGGTCTTTAACCAATCATTTTTCAGAAGCTCATTCAGTAATTAGTCAAAATCCTTACTAAATTACCATGTTAATTTTATGAATGATTTCTCAAAAGCCGCATATTGACCTCTCCCTGATTTTACGATCCCGGGTTATTTGAAACCAAGTGGCTAATATTTAATAATTTTTACTGATCGTTTTTATGAGTTAACCGCAGAGGTATGAAGTAAAGAGTAAGCTGTTGTTTAATAGACAAACGTCCACAAGAATTCCTGTTTAAAAATCACACAAGTACTTAGTAAACTGTCTGAGTGAATGTAGTTTCAGTTAATTTTAATAAAAAAATACTATCAATCCATTCACTAATGAACTTGATTGTTCAGTTTAAATATAAATGAAATAAAACTCGATTTAAATAAATCATCTCTTTTATAATATTGTAAGAATAGTTTCAACGGTTGAATAACCTAGTTCTATAAATACATGAGTGATACTTTAATTTTCACTATGGTTTATCATGCTTGAAAAATACAGCAGAAATTCATTGCGACGTATATCAGATTATCAGTTGAGTGACCATTTGAAATGGTCCTGATGATTTCGTGAACATAAATAATGTCATGACTAGACTAAAAATACAAATGAAAATATTTTTCGGATTGCCAAACATTAAAGAGCCAAATGAATCAAATAAAAATGTGAAATTCAATCTTTAATAGACATATTGAAGCCTCTGGTTAAGTTGTGAGATTAATTAGGTGGTCGAATCATCCAAGTACTGAATAATTCATCAACCTATCTCAGTTCGTTTGCTACCACAGTCTCTTGATACAACTTCAGTGTTAAAAAATGCAGAATCGTTGCGTGATTCTCCAATCGACACTACTCTAAATATCTTAGGTATTAAGTTTGATAGCAGGAATCGAATCTGAGATATAAGAAGTATTAGTAATCAAACATTTATAAAATTTTAATTAGATAGGACGAAATTCCTATTGTTTCAGTGGCCAGTTTGTACAGGTCAACTGTGGAAACTGTCTGTATAATGTGCTATAACATAAAATAGTTTAAAGCAGGATACAGAAAGTAAAACTTATTTAACTTTTTTTCATTTTGTTATCAAATAAATTAAATTTCAGATTTTATGCTTTGTGAAGCACATTAAGTCGGTGTAGATGTAGGTCAAGTATCCCTACGACGTAATAAAAATTTGAAACCACCAGTCTTTTCAGTGAATGTTCATCATACATTGGATGAAATTTAAAAAAATTAAAAATTACCTATAAACACGAAATCTAAATTAAAAATGTTAAGTGTTGAGTTTTATCTATCAGCTTTTGAATAACAATAATAAAGTATGGATTACGAGAGATTGACACCCAGTGTGTCATGAAATTATTGATTTTTGTAACGGTCAGTTGGAATACTCTATCCTAATCTGATGGCTATCATTAGTTTGGTGCATAGACTGAATTTCACCTTATTAGTATAACCATTGTCAATGGTGATTCCGTTTTACATATGACAAGTCAAAATGAATCCTTTTACACAGAGATATAAATAATTCACTAATGTTTAATAATAACCTACTTAAAAACCTTTGTAAATGTCAGATAAACATCGTGGCTACCCACCATGATGTTAGCTCCGTAGTTCAATGAGTAACTTATTGGCCATTTTAAGAAAATCAAACCAGAGGCAAGCATCAATGTGAACATTAATAATAGAGTGTAGGTACATTCTTCTGACCAGTCCAGTATATATAACAGTTGCCTTTATAACAGAAACACTGGCTTATCATGTTTACTTAACCTACAAAATATGATGTGAAAAAAAAACTACGCAAATTGTTAATAATTTTTTATGATCCAGAAATTGAAGTAATAAAAAGATCGAAATAAAATCTCATCTATGATGAAGATGATAAACTGAAAATGTAAACAGAATGTTCGAATTAATGAGAAAAATAATAGAATGATTCTGTTTTTTACAAATAATTATGTTATCCTTAAATACTGCTTTTCAGATTTATATTATAATACATATTATAAGGATTGTTCGTCCGAAAAAAAATTCTACCTAATAATAATCACGTTTTTCGGAATCAAATCAAATGACACTGTTTTTGTGTCTTTCACTCTGTTAGTTACATTAGCTGATATAATTTATTATCGAACCACTTACTTCCAGCTATTTCTAATGAAAATACGCATTCATTTGTAAGAAAACGAATTACTGGTTGGATTACTTTTGTGCTTGTGTGACTGTTCTTTTTGTTAACAACGAATACTGAATAAATTAAGTGTTTTGAAGCTAAAAGCTACACAGGATTTATCAAAGCTATAATTTTTTTTTAAAAACCAAACTAATTTGAGTTATTGGAAAACGGGTAAAGAGGAGATGCTTTTCAGAGAGTTTTTTGAACTGAAAAAGCAATGAAAACCAAAGATTACTGAGCACTTATAGCACGATA